ATACCATTACTATTGCCAGCAGCTTGGAAATACTATAGCTACTTATGAATATAGTGACAATCAGTCAGCATGGAATATGGCTTAAATATAAACTTAAATAAAAGTAAATATATGGTCTCTTACACTACCTCATACGCTGCTCCTTCGCTGCTGTGTCTTTTCTATCCTACTTTATGGTATAGAATCTTGGACCTTAACAGAAGCAACTACGAAAAAAGCGTTTGAGATATGGCTCTACCGCAGGGAAGTGCCTCGAAGAATGCAAAAAGGAACGGAAATAATTAATACAAGAAAAATAAGGAACTCGAATACCTATGTCACATAATGTGGTACGAGAAAAAATACAGACTACTGCAAGAAACATTACAAGAAAAATTTCCAGGGAAACGTCGACCTGGCAGGAGAAAAATTGCCAGGTTAAAGAATCTTAGAACTCTTTTTTTCTTCAACAATATGTCTTTTTCGAGTAGCGACGAACAAAATTGTTATAGCCGGAATGATCGCCAACATCCGAACCGGATGGGTACCCGAAGAAGACAATTTGGAGAAATGCGAATCAGGGATATCTGTAATATATTCCATACTATTAACATTTGAATAGCGTAATTTAAAAATGTAAAAATCGATAGACCGGCCATCGATTTATTAATTTTTACGAATAGGGATCAGGTTGAAAAATTTGGGTCGAAACTAAATAATAACAACTAAAATGCTGTTTGTATACATATTCATTCTGCTAGTCTAATTTTTGAAATAGGATCAATCAGTACACAGATAATAATTAATCATCTTCATTAAGTATATAATATTATCGTTATAACATCTTATTCTGTAATTTGACAAAATATATTTGAATATTATAATATAGCTTAAAACCTTTGTAATTATACCTCTCTCTATGATTAAAACTCTCTTATTAGTTGAACATGTAGAAATAAATATCAGTCGGGATCATTGTATCTAATTGTCGGTTTCCAAAATTGTGTCCGCACTTTTGAGAGGCTGGATACCAAAAATACGGAACAAATAAGAAATCATCATGAAGTGGGAAGCTGCGGTATGATCCCATTTTCCATTTATGTTACTTGCTGTCGTTCGGCCAACCCTGATAATTGTTAACTCTAACGAAATAAATTACCGCAGCTTTCAGTTAGGCTTTGGAAATCACCGCATAGGTTATTACTTTTCATACATACACATATACTTCCATAACGTAGAATCAGTTTTTTTTGGAGAATAGAAGTTAAAATTGAATACTCGGGACACACAATAAAACATTTTTTCGTAAATTATTTAACGAACTTAGACTAATAAAATTTATAATATAATTTTAAGAACACCGATTTACAACAATACATTCTTTGCGTTTTCTGGCTATAATTATTTTGTTAAGCGCCGCATTTTCATAACAATACTTTGAGAACGACGTAAATTTTTATTTACTCTTTATAATTTTTTTCGATTTAGGGAAACCTGGTCAATGAACAGATATGTATTTAAGAAGGTTTGGGATGTATATTTTTGAATAAAATGCGTTGACGTGATATCAAAATCGGAGGACACTACTTTGCGAATAGTAAAATTTCTAAACAAAAAATATTTTCCAAATTCGTCTAATTAATGTCATTAATTGTTTGAACAATATTTATATCCTTATAAAAATAGCCGATTTCGATATCGCGATAGTATTGTATAGTATATACCTACGGCCAATTAGATAGAGGCCTGCGATCTTAAGCTAACCCTCAATATACAGGATGGAAGTTTTTATTGAGTGTCGCTTATTGTCTGAGCGTTACTAGATTTGTCATGATTTAAGCGGAAGTTTATTTCTCTTGTTTATCTTGAGGGGGGGCCAATGGTTGCGGTGGCAGCGCTTTCAAGATGGCGTGCACTTCCTCTGCGACGGCGGTCAGCACGAATTCAAACTGTTGTTTCGTCGCCACCTGATGAATTTGATGTAAATTTTAGGGTGGGGAAACAAAGAGCTCGGTAATAGTACTAAACTATCAAATAAACAGTTCTCATTTGTACTTTGATACTCACCTCCCGAGTTTGTTCAATGGGATAGACAAAAGTTGTATGTTCTGAACATATCAATAAATACAAAAAAACACCATGTATATTTCTAGTTAAGATGAAAGTATTTTTTGACCATATTTCAAAAATGCAGTTTCTGGGTATTCAGTTTAGCCGTTCTCGAAGTAACTTCAGTTTATTATTCAAAAGTAAAATTTAATGATTAGATAGGCCAAATATTTTTAAATTTTTCAAAGTTGATTTCCTCCATCACGTAAGGTTTTTTAAGTCCATTTATTTTTGGAATTTACTGGATTTTATTGTATATTTCATACCCATTTTCAATGACCAGCAGAAATCTGCCATCATTGCAATATTCCATCGACATGATATCTGCGTTCCATTTCTTTTCTCAAAAATTAATTCAAAAATGTTGCGTGCTTGAAGCAAAAAAAACATTGTTTCTATTAGTTTAGTCACTATAACTACAAAAATATAAAAAATACAATATAAGAAAATTTTTGTTGCCCTGTGTAATCAATCATCAATCAGGACAGACAATTTCTGAATGAAAATGAGGTTTTACGTAGTTCATTCTATGTGCGAAACTTTCTTGAATATGACGGTGTGCAAGTTTTATAACTATGTAAAAATCATGAAAATTAATTTTTATTTCAAAGATGGTAAGAAATAGGTATATGGAAACTTCAAAAAAATTTGGTTAGTTTCTGTCCTAAAATTCTAAAATTAAAGGATATACAGGGTGTGTCATTTAAAAAAACTCAATAAACCGCGATTCTAAAACCCCCGTACAAAATCTTATTTTTAATTTAATTTAATTTAACAACAATGTCTCCAAACAATTCCTGAATATGCTTTAATTTTATTAATAAAGAATCTAAGTTTTTTAATACTTCTTAGATATTCCGGAAAATTATTGAACATCTTCATAGTAAGCAGAAGGGGCTTTGTCCTATATTGCTTCTTGAATGCATTCGAGAGAGCTAGGGTTATGCACATCGTCAGCCAACATCATAATTCCATAGATTTTTATTTAATTTAATATTTAATAAATTAATTTAATTTGTCCAAACTCCAATATAGTACTAAGCCTTGAGTTAACCTTACATAATTAAACAATAGTTTCAAAATTCTGATCTGAAGCACTTGATCAGTATTAACATTAGGTTTACCGCTTGCTCCCCATAACGGCGAGACGAAAATAGCATTATATATATATATATATATATATATATATATATATATATATATATATATATATATATATATATATATATATATATATATATATATGATGACACTATATTCCGGGATATCATCCGTTCGCTTGTTGAACTCCGACTGGAATCCTGCAGACGTTTCGGCAAAATTTCACTTGGCATCTTCAATGCTCGCGCTCCGAAAACACTTCGAACACTGAGTGTTCGAAGTGTTTTCGGAGCGCGAGCATTCTGGAAAGCGATTGTGTGATAATGTTTGCAACTGGATTGCATTCTACTCTGTACCTGTGTAAATATTGTTGGGGTGAACATTGTCTCGGATGATTGATTCCCATATTGGTGAGTCACGGTTAAGAGTTTTTGATTGCTTATCGATTTCTATAGATTCTCTGATTTTTCGTAGGTAGAATTGTTTTAGGCAACTGCTTTATTTGTCGTAATCTTAAATCTCTTTCACGTTCTTTGAGACTAATTGATATTTTTCGTCGAGGCTCTCCAATGTGTTCTTTGCCGCGTATACATAGAATGCTGTAAACACTTGGCATTTCAACCGAAATTTTCGGATTGACGGATTTGACGGATCTAAGATGTTGAGAGATTTTTGGACAAGTGGTAAATCTGGTTTGGACTTTATACTTCTTTAGAACTTTTGATATGTGCTTAGTGATGTTTTGAATGCAAGAAAGGACCACAGTACCAAGTTGCTTTCGGACTCATTCTCTTTGGAAGGTTGCGGTGAAGTGTATTTTTTAATTAATAGCTCTAATGTGGAAATTATTATAGAGAAGAGCAAGTGTAAGGTTTGTTAATTCTGGGTTCAGTGATTCGGGTTGAGAAAGTTATACGGCTCTGTAAAAAAGAGAGTTGATAACCGATGATTTTTGGACCGGACGGTGATGCGACAATGCATTTCGTGCGTAGGTTTTCTGTAAAGAGAATCACCTAATGTTAGGTAAATAGTATTACAGTAGCCTGAAGCAGTTCCTTTGAAAAATTAAAAAACCTTTGAATAAGCTTAGGTACGCTTATGATACCATTACTATTGCCAGCAGCTTGGAAATACTATAGCTACTTATGAATATAGTGACAATCAGTCAGCATGGAATATGGCTTAAATATAAACTTAAATAAAAGTAAATATATGGTCTCTTACACTACCTCATACGCTGCTCCTTCGCTGCTGTGTCTTTTCTATCCTACTTTATGGTATAGAATCTTGGACCTTAACAGAAGCAACTACGAAAAAAGCGTTTGAGATATGGCTCTACCGCAGGGAAGTGCCTCGAAGAATGCAAAAAGGAACGGAAATAATTAATACAAGAAAAATAAGGAACTCGAATACCTATGTCACATAATGTGGTACGAGAAAAAATACAGACTACTGCAAGAAACATTACAAGAAAAATTTCCAGGGAAACGTCGACCTGGCAGGAGAAAAATTGCCAGGTTAAAGAATCTTAGAACTCTTTTTTTCTTCAACAATATGTCTTTTTCGAGTAGCGACGAACAAAATTGTTATAGCCGGAATGATCGCCAACATCCGAACCGGATGGGTACCCGAAGAAGACAATTTGGAGAAATGCGAATCAGGGATATCTGTAATATATTCCATACTATTAACATTTGAATAGCGTAATTTAAAAATGTAAAAATCGATAGACCGGCCATCGATTTATTAATTTTTACGAATAGGGATCAGGTTGAAAAATTTGGGTCGAAACTAAATAATAACAACTAAAATGCTGTTTGTATACATATTCATTCTGCTAGTCTAATTTTTGAAATAGGATCAATCAGTACACAGATAATAATTAATCATCTTCATTAAGTATATAATATTATCGTTATAACATCTTATTCTGTAATTTGACAAAATATATTTGAATATTATAATATAGCTTAAAACCTTTGTAATTATACCTCTCTCTATGATTAAAACTCTCTTATTAGTTGAACATGTAGAAATAAATATCAGTCGGGATCATTGTATCTAATTGTCGGTTTCCAAAATTGTGTCCGCACTTTTGAGAGGCTGGATACCAAAAATACGGAACAAATAAGAAATCATCATGAAGTGGGAAGCTGCGGTATGATCCCATTTTCCATTTATGTTACTTGCTGTCGTTCGGCCAACCCTGATAATTGTTAACTCTAACGAAATAAATTACCGCAGCTTTCAGTTAGGCTTTGGAAATCACCGCATAGGTTATTACTTTTCATACATACACATATACTTCCATAACGTAGAATCAGTTTTTTTTGGAGAATAGAAGTTAAAATTGAATACTCGGGACACACAATAAAACATTTTTTCGTAAATTATTTAACGAACTTAGACTAATAAAATTTATAATATAATTTTAAGAACACCGATTTACAACAATACATTCTTTGCGTTTTCTGGCTATAATTATTTTGTTAAGCGCCGCATTTTCATAACAATACTTTGAGAACGACGTAAATTTTTATTTACTCTTTATAATTTTTTTCGATTTAGGGAAACCTGGTCAATGAACAGATATGTATTTAAGAAGGTTTGGGATGTATATTTTTGAATAAAATGCGTTGACGTGATATCAAAATCGGAGGACACTACTTTGCGAATAGTAAAATTTCTAAACAAAAAATATTTTCCAAATTCGTCTAATTAATGTCATTAATTGTTTGAACAATATTTATATCCTTATAAAAATAGCCGATTTCGATATCGCGATAGTATTGTATAGTATATACCTACGGCCAATTAGATAGAGGCCTGCGATCTTAAGCTAACCCTCAATATACAGGATGGAAGTTTTTATTGAGTGTCGCTTATTGTCTGAGCGTTACTAGATTTGTCATGATTTAAGCGGAAGTTTATTTCTCTTGTTTATCTTGAGGGGGGGCCAATGGTTGCGGTGGCAGCGCTTTCAAGATGGCGTGCACTTCCTCTGCGACGGCGGTCAGCACGAATTCAAACTGTTGTTTCGTCGCCACCTGATGAATTTGATGTAAATTTTAGGGTGGGGAAACAAAGAGCTCGGTAATAGTACTAAACTATCAAATAAACAGTTCTCATTTGTACTTTGATACTCACCTCCCGAGTTTGTTCAATGGGATAGACAAAAGTTGTATGTTCTGAACATATCAATAAATACAAAAAAACACCATGTATATTTCTAGTTAAGATGAAAGTATTTTTTGACCATATTTCAAAAATGCAGTTTCTGGGTATTCAGTTTAGCCGTTCTCGAAGTAACTTCAGTTTATTATTCAAAAGTAAAATTTAATGATTAGATAGGCCAAATATTTTTAAATTTTTCAAAGTTGATTTCCTCCATCACGTAAGGTTTTTTAAGTCCATTTATTTTTGGAATTTACTGGATTTTATTGTATATTTCATACCCATTTTCAATGACCAGCAGAAATCTGCCATCATTGCAATATTCCATCGACATGATATCTGCGTTCCATTTCTTTTATATCTTAGTGGAACCTCTCACCTATATCGATGCAATAAACAAGTCAACCACTTTACTCAAAATAGCCACTGAAAGATCCTAAAGTTAACCTAAGTCTCCCACTAAATCATTAAGGTCTGATTGTGAAAATAACTGTGGTTTCTGAGAAACATATAACATATATATAACCAAAATCAGAGTATCTTTATCTCTTTCAAGTTCAAAAAACTGCGGGTATTTTCTTCTAAATTGGCTGAATTCTCAGGTAATGGAACATCTGGACCATGGAGATTCAGATAGAGAATGTCTTAAAAATTTTTAGTGTTTGCGCATACAAAAATAGCATTCATCATGGTGATTTGCTGGCTCTCTCCATACTATAGGTTCCATTATTCCAATGTTTTAAATCTTCTCCACATACCTCACAAACGTAAACGTAGTATTGTTTTTTAAGCAGGTACTTTCACGTCTAAAGTTTTTGACCACAAGAGAACTACTCAAGTAGCAATACGGATCTGGAATATTATTATTATTATATTATTATTATTTTAAAAAGAAAGTTTAATGCACAATGCTCAATAATCTCACGCATCGACTGCATAAAACAAACGCAATTACTTACACGCGCGGCATTGTTTTGACTATATTTAATTTCGGGGATTCTCCGCTAATATTCTGCAAATTTATGCAAAATGTATGCCCGTGGTCTAACAATTTAAAAGAATATTATGCAATGTTCCCATTTTTAATACAATAAATCTATCATATCAAAAATTAATTCAAAAATTGCGTGATGGAAAAAAATTTTTTTTTTCTATTAGTTGAGTCTTTATAACTCCAAAAATGTGAAAAATACCTAACCACAAAATCTTTGTGGACTTGTGTAATTTATGAACGTATTTTAACGGGTATTGTGTGATTTAAATACCGTTGACTTACTCTTATGGGGTTAATTAAATATTATGGTAGACCAAAAAATATAAATATGTTAAGGATTGAAAACGAAACAGAAATCATCCCGATTTTGTTATGTAAGTAAGTTAAGAAAAAACCTAACATTTTACTTTTTTAACGCCTCGTTGAAGTTGTTTATTAAATTCAATTTTTGATTAATAAACCCGAGTTATTTACTTTAGTTTAAATATATTTTTGAAATTGGGTTAAAAAGTAGAAATACACAGGATGTTCCATTTGTTTTTATTGGTACGTTAGGAAGTAATACACAAAAAATCGTACAGCATTTGCATAAAAGATTTTTGCCTATCTCCTTAATAAACGCTGTATGCAAAACATAAATGAAAACCCTGTACGTCAAAATCTTCTGACGTCTACTATGGCCTACTGCTATAAATAAAGTAAAAATGTTTTATTTTATTTAATTTAATTTTCAAAACCACTTTATACTAATATATACTTCTGAAAAGCTTACATGGTTTCCAACTAATATAAAAAATAATATACAGGATGTTACATTGTTAATATACATGTTTCCTTCTTCATAACTAATAAGCGCTTAGAGCAACTAAAGAAACAAACTATGCCACTGGATTCTACCGAAAAATCCTATAAGAACGTTTTTTTAAGCTCTCTAATAATTTAAAAGAGAACGGAGACACGAGGGTGGTCCCAAAATCGATAGTTTTGGGTTTCACCCTGTGTCTCATGATAACTTTGTTGAGGGCATCTTTAATTTCACAAAAAAGTAGCAAAGTATAGCGTAAACGGCGACTTGCTATCTTCAAAAATAACCGAGATACCCCATAAAAGTGTCCAAAATGAGATACAAAGTACAAAGACTTTCCACAAAATTTTGAATATAAATAAATTTAAATGCAAATTGAAGGAGTTTCTTTTGAGTAAGCAATAACAATGGCAGTGGATTTTTATGCCATTCTGATGCTGTTTGGGGACCGTTTGAGAGGTTTCTGACATAACTGACTTTAAAATTTATTTATTTTTTCTAATAGTGACCTGTTCTGAAATAAAAAGAATTCAAATAGTTAGAATTTTTGAGGAGAAGAGATTGAGTATGAATAGCACACATTTATTTTATTTGAATTATTTATATCTTTAAATTTTGTACTGTTAATTTTCGCACAGAAGAAACTGCGTTCTTATTTAAGAAATTGACGTTTTCTCGTGAATGGTTAGTTCAGATTCTAAGAAAATGCCTTTTTTATATGATGGCAATCAGATTAAAAACATTTGTTTTAATAATGAAGATTAAAAAAGCTTTAATTCTGGAAGCGCCTACAAAAAAACTTTACTTACTAATGAGACGTTTCAAAAAAATCGTGAATATTATGACATCAAGTTCGTGTGATCAATTTGATATAAATTATCGGGTCTGACCAATGTAATAATTACATAATCACAAAATAAGCGTCATGGTGAACAATTTTGAAGTGATATCGACCTATAATAAACTTCTTTTGGTGGCCTGGGTATTGAAACAAGGATTTTACAGATTAAAAACTCGATTAAGCAAATTGCAAAAAATCAGTGATGAATTCGTTAGGAGACCTCCCCGAACGACAAAAGACTTCAACAAAATCGAGCAAAAAATATTTAACTTAGGAAAGGAGTTTTATTTACACGTATGTTGAAAATTAGACATTTCTTTTGGATGACGAATTTACTTCGTGTTTTGAAAATTTTTGAATTTTATGTCAAAAGTGGCGCAGATTTTAATATAATTTTCGTATTCTCCGAAGCCAAAGTCTTTCTAACATATTTGAAATTGAAGGCTGTGTTTTTATAATTTTATCGTATTAGGCCTGAAAAAAAGTTAGCTTGGTATATGGTTACCTATTTAAAAAAAAATCTAAATTTCAGGAAAATATTTTTTTTGGAAACTAATGTTTGGGGGTTTTATGTCTTTTTATAGTTATTTTTTAATACAAGAAAATATATTAAATTAAATTAAATAAAGTAAAAAAAGAGATTTTCAACAAAATAGTTATATTAGTTATTATTTATAAGATTTGCAAAAAAATGTGAAAGACAGTCAATTGCAGGTGTCGTTTCTGTAGTGCTCGGTTGTTTTTACCTCTCATGTTTCGTCGTCATCTTCATGGTCAATTAATAGCTGTATAGCTTTTTAACAATTGAAAAACTAATATTGCAAAATCAAAAACTTTTTGATATGTATAAAAAATTACCCTTTCTTTAAAATTCTAAATACAGTAAAACTACAATAATGAGGTCTTCAGGTTCTCTTTGTGAAAAAACGAGTTTGAACGATTTTTTAATTTATTATTAATTAATTTATTTTTAAAATACCAAGAAGGACCGATAAAGTAGATCTCCTTCTATACGAAAATCAACAGCAAATATATATAAATATATAAAAAAAGATTTTTTTTTCCCACGAAGATCGGTTCGTTATACAGATTGCTTGGAATGTGACACTTTTATGTGAAGTGATAAGATGCTACCTTATTCCTAACTAGACTAAAAATTCCACTGGCCTTCCGCCAATGACAAGGTAAGTTTATTTGGAATTTTTTAAATTCAAGGCCTCAATTTTTATGTACCATAAAAGGTTGACAGATCTTTAAAATTATTTTCCCATGTTTCATAACTCACCGCATATATGAAATCAAATTTCTGGTTAACCATTGACGAATAATTCTAGAATAGTCACTGAAAGCGCCATCTAGCCGGGAATACATATCCCGTCGCACATTGAAAGGAAGACTTTATATAGAATCATATAATTCCTCATTGGAGATGTTAACTAAACGACCAGCATTTAATTTAATTTATAAAAAGGACTTGTTATTTGGTCTCCAAAATTCCAACACACCTTTACATCTATAATCCAATGGGGATTATCTCTTGCCCCGTATCTACAATTTTGAGATAATAGAACCCCATTGGTGGTGAATGTAGCCTGATCAGTAAACATAATCTTCTTCAAACAATGACTGTCATTTAAAAAATTACCTTGCCAATATATAGGGGTGTCTTCGTCTTAGATACGACACACTGTTGAACAATATAATATTTTGAAATCTTTATCTTAAGTTTTTTTAAAATATTTTCACCATGTTCATCTTATATAAAAACAAACAGACCACCCTGTACATGTATCACTAACCTGTAAGATTAACACTATTTTAATTAAACCTGCTCACCATCTTTGGACGTTGATCTCTCAAATGTTCAAGCGTAGCTGCAATGTCGATTTCTTTGGCTCCTTTCGCCATCCTGCTCAGCACCATATCAATGAGGCAGTAAGTTCCAGTTCGACCAGCGCCGTCGCTACAATGCACGACTATTGGACAGGATCGACCTCGGTACGATTTATTTACTTTTCGCCTGGAAATGTTGAACTTTGCAAACGCCTTCCCAGCCACACAGTACACATTTTGAAATACCTGAATTCGAGGAGAGCTTTGGTGGAAATCGGAACGCCAGCCTCAAGCCAAGATAAGAAGTGGAATTGGGTGACCGTTCTTGTCTCACTGGTCCTCACGTTTTTTAAATAAAACGATCTGACCAAGTAATCGTCACACCATATATGTTCACTCACCAGATGTACTTCGTAAATCTGATAGACTTCCGACCCTTCAGAAAACGTTAATTTTTCAAAGAAACTTTCAGAGGCTACTGCAATATTATTTACAAATCTTCCGGATTCCTCCTGCGGTGGTAGTTTATAAATAAAAATCATCCTGTTGGCTTCTTCAGAGCTATACTGAAACTACCTCCCATTGTACAATGTACCTGCCTATATATTGTTGGAGAGGGGCGGAGCTAAACGATCGGCATGAACATTGTTGCGGATATCAGTCATCAGTTGCGGATGACTGATCCCCATATTGATGGAACGATTGTTTAGTTGCTTATAGATTTTTCGTTAGTAGAAGAATTGATTACATTCAAGAATGTTAGTTTTATCGATTTTAAGATTTGATGTACAGTTTCGTGATTGTATTCGGCAATGCTGTAAACTCCTGGTATGTCAAACTGAATTTTGTCTTTAGCGCATCGAAGACGTTTTGTTGAAGTGTATTTTGTGTATTGTGTATAAGATGTCTGATGCGGACAGTATTAGAGAGAAGAGCAGATATAAGTTGTTTTAATTCTGGGTTCAGTAATTTCAGTTGAGATAGTTTTACGGCTCTGTAAACAAGAGCGCTGATAACAGATGATTTTTATGTATCGGTCTGTATGCGTAGGTTTTTTGTAAACAGAATAATGTTAGATAATGTTAGATCTGATTTTCTGTTGATAAAAATATATATGAATGGGAGACTATTATTAGCTCCTAATTCGATTGTAAAAGTACAACTGAATATTAGCACAAATCAACGCCGAATTTCATTCGATTAGACCAAAATACTTTTTTTCTTATATCTAAGAAAAATTCGGACGACTAACGAAATAATTCGACCCTTCCAGGTGCAAGTATTCAAAGTGTCTACAGACAAATAATCAAATCAGTTTCTGAAGAAGCCACCACCATGTTAGAAATCCAGAAGACGTGTAGCCCCAGGTTTAATAGCCTGCGGAAGTTTCTCTGATACGATGTTTACATATAAGAAAGATGATTTTACTAACAATTATGAAATTTAATAAGTCAAAAATTAATAGAAGTTTCTGCGTTTTACGGGCTCAGTTTTTGATGGTGTCACGAGCGAACAGCGGTGTGTGCTCGGGCGTACGCTGGCAACGGAGCGAGATCAAAGGCGTCGCTTCTCTGGGGGATGGCTAGAAAATTCCTTCCTTCTCCGTGCGTCTTATACAAGCGGAGCGCCGCACTCACTTCGGTCAGTTGAAAAGAGAAGTAGAAGCGCAAATATAAATTATTCTTCCTCTTGTCAAGCACTATGTCTTTTTAGAATGTTGGTGGTCAATCTTAGCATGCTACGCGCTAATCTCAATAGTGAACTGGAATTGATGCTATCCCAGTCTTGGAAATTTTTCATCCATGTATTTCTTTGACCTGGACCGTGCCTTGCATAATATTTTATAGTAAACGGAGTTTCCTACCTTTCGTCACATGCCCAAAATACTCCAGCTTTCTTTTCTTAATTGACGTGACCGTATTTCTACATTAAGAACTCTTTTCGTCCATGAAACCACTAACATATGCTTGTAGGACCACATTTTAGAAGCTTCAAGGCGTTAGATATGTTCTGTTGTTATGTTGTAGGAGAATTCTATGTGTTCTGTCTCACACTTCGTTTGATACTAACTGCGGATGAGTCTACTCTGTCTATTCTTACAACTATAAATTTGAGATGACACGGATATTTTCCCCATTCCACCCTGTATATTAATGTTTCATATCGAACAGGATCAAAAGCCTTTTGAAAATCTATAAAGCAAGTATAAAGATCAATTGATACATCTGCACTTCTCTGTGCCAGAACTATAATGTCAAACAGAGCTTGTCCCGAAACCATCGAAATTGAGATTCAGTTAAGTATTCCTCAAATTTAAAGTAGAGTAGACCGTGGATTATTTTTAGGAATATCTTTAATAAGGGACACATCCAGATAATAGTTCTATACTCGCTTCATGTTTTAGCTGCCCCTTTATTATTTCTTTTAGAAAAAAGTATTGAATTCAAAAGTGATAATTTAAACTTGTTTTGAAATATACAAATATATGGGAGATCAGACTTTTTAAAATGCGTCCAAAATTCCCTGGGTTTATTATTTTATAGTTTTGGTGCTATTTCCGACAGCTGTAATTTTATTATGCCAACAATTTTATAAAGTAGTACATTCTACACTTTTCTCAAAGTTATAAGTTATATATATTATAGTATCGCAATAAGCATAGAAAAATAAAAATAAACAGGTAAATTTTTAATTGTGTAAAAAAAATGTTTCCATTCATTCCATTTGAGTTGGCATTTCTTAAAGCCCACAATATTATTGAAGTATAAATATTTTTTTCAGATCGCATCTTTTAGTGCAAATGTAAGTTGGCCATGAGAATAAATAATTATTACTTAGATTTACTTAATGTCACAGAAAACCCACATAGAAGTCTACGATAAATGTCCCAAGACAATTATTTCTAAGAGTCCTGTGAATAATATTTTGCGAAAAAATAAGATGCATCCATGTACGACTTCATCAAGAACTCAGATGAATATTTCGAATATGTTTAATTTTTTTAATACTCTCCAGAAAAATGGGTTTTAAATGTTTGGGGTGCTGCAATGGCAAATAACGTTGTAGGGACTCATTTTAGAACAGAGGTTGTTAATGTTAAGACACAGAGAATGTGAATATGAATGTGAAGCCCTTGCCCATCAGGTCACGAACTACTTAAATAATTTATTTCCTCAACAGTGGAGAGTAACGTGTGGTCCGATTAGGTTGCCACCTAGATCTTCTAACAAAAATGGACTATTTTCTGTGGGAACATGTTAAAGACCAGATATATAAAACAGTTCTCCACAACAAAAGAGGAGACGACATAGAGGACAGAGTGTTAGTTATGTTAGAGCGTATATCGAAGTCGGTGGGAGATATTTCGAGCAATAAAAGTTTAAATTGTTTTTCCAAAGTTGCGCAGTTCATAATTTTATTTTTGTTTAACTTTGGGATTTAATAAATTATTTCCGCATTACACTTTGTATTTAAACGTAACGAATCTTATTATCGAAAGAATTATATTTAATTCATCTCTGTAGACCTATCACGCTTAAGTAATATTTTGTTTTGAATATTTTGTGATATTTTCGAATGGTTTAAATGTGTATACTTCAATAAAATATAAGGATTAATTAATGGTAGTATAAAATATAGGGTGTTGCATTTGATTTTTTCACGAAAATTAATTTTTCATTTTGAGGTCTTCAAGACAAGTATAGGACAAAAGACTATGCCTCTGTATAAAATTGTTGGCATAATAAAATTATAGCTGTCGGAAATGGCGTCAAAAATATAGAGGGTTAAAGACGGGAAATTTTTGACGAAAAAATGGCTATAATAAGAAAACACTCAATAAATACCATAACTGATTATCTATTAATGCCATTAATGCTCCATTAAAAAGGTTTAATTACAAGTTGATTTATAAATCACCATATATATTTGCTTTTTTTTTAATTGTTTCTTTCAGTCTCACCTATAACTTTTGCATTTAACATTTTTTTCCTAAAACAAATAATAAACGAGATATATAACATTGACACATTATTTATCACCTGCATAGTAGGCTAGACTTTTTTGTGTTTATCATATCTGCAGCATCTTTGACTTTTTTTATACATTTTGCTTAGAGATCTTCAATTTCTTTATACTGACTGGTCAGATGTTTTTGCCTCGCGGATGTTCGGTTTTTTTTTTCTATTAGGTCTTTAATTTCATCTCTCATCCAATGTTTTTCTTTTGTTTGCATTCATGCCCAAGATCTCTTTTATTGTAGAACTCATTATATTTCACTAGGCCTCAGTATCTGTGCTTACACAACTCCGACTTCTGACAGTTGACAATATTGATTCGTGTTTATGTGCTGATCGGTTGATGTAGTACACTTCTTGCTTTTTTATTGTTTTTAAACTGTTAAAAATTTTAACGATTACCGGACTGTGATCTGACCCATTATCTGCATCAAAATGTCCTGTCTGATTTCTCACTACTTTATTATCGTGTCCAAATATAGTAGGTAATTTAAAATGACTATTGGTTATAATGAAATCATGTACCCGACAAAATTCAATTAGTCGCTCATTTCTATCATCCCTTTAACCCAATCCATAGGCCCCCGCAATATTTTCACATTGTCCCTTCCCAACAAAGAGCATTAAAGTTTCCCAAGGTTCACCAGCCTTTTGGTAATATGGAGGTCATTGTGAGTATAATATCTGTATCGAAAGTATGAGATCTTAGTTTCATTAAGATGGCTTTGTCTGTTATTGGTGTTACTGATCCAGTGACGATAATCGTTACGCTATTGTAGGGCTTTGCGTCTTCGTTTCCAGCATAGTATGCTTTGTAATCCTCAATCTCATGTTCTCCATTTCCTGACCCGCACATTACTAACTAATTCGTGGGGTGTATTTATTCTTTAATCTTTCCATTTCTTGCAGTTTTCAGTTTGAGGAGACACACTCCTCTTTACACTCGAAGTTTGTTTCCAGTATGCTATGCCCTCACCTTTTTTTTTAGATCATCCGCCTTTAGGAAGAATTTTCAATTCCGTAGATACCTCAACTTGCTTTGCCATCTTGTGAAGAAGCTGTAGTCAATACTAAGGATGGACCACGAGTAGAAGAGGTTAACATTTGGGTCCGTTATTACTTGAGAATTGTCATCTCCGATTTTAATTAATACTAACAAGAATGTAACAATACCTTCTTCCGGCCAATATCTGTGACACATAGCGGTTCCTCCTTCAGTCAGTCTAGTCAGCATTACTATAACGACAGCTCCTTGTTCCCAGATCATTTGCCAAAAATCAGACGCGGTATGGGGTAGCGGTCCTTGGGTTGCAATGTAGGCGGGATTCCTAGAACATATACATCACTCAACTTCTCCAATCAATTTTCCATAGGAGCCGCGATGAAACTTACCGGGGATCGTGATCCGTAATGCTGGACGCGTTAATATAGTCTGAATCTGAAGCGTTGGACAGCTCGTTAAGGATGACTCGCGCATGATCATAAGGAACGACATTCGGGTATCGGTTTTTCTCGATATTTTCCTTCCTTAAGGCGACTGATGATTCGCAGGGTTCGGCGACATATGCACATAGTGCGACCCACTCTTGCTCCAACCTGTCTTTATTTTTCAAATGATCCTCCATGTAACTAAGAACCATATGTCCTGAAAGGTGCCGTGGTGATGTTTTCAATGGTGACAAGATGTTATTTTTCTTACCAGTCGAAATGTCCATATTGTGCAACGCTGGTTCTTCGCTCCAAGAAGACGTGCTGGATCTACTCGACGGACTTTGTTCCGACTCTTTCGATAGAGACGTTATTCTGCCTACAACCAAACAACACGCGATTCAAATTCGGGTCTTAGGAGCCCGGCATAAATCACTTGAGCAAAACAAATCAAATGCGACACACGTTAAGTTGGAATGACGAAGAAAATTAATTCTCCTCGCTCATTTAATTACAAGATAATACTTAGCTTGTTCTAACAGAAATTCAAGGAGAATTAAAAAAATAGGGTATATAAAACTGGAAATAATTATGCAGTGCAAATTTATTATCTCAATCACACTGGTGCTCGGGGACAAATTGTAAAATGTCAATCTTCAAAATATTAAACAGCGAATTTTAATTTAAATAAAATCTATTCATTTTTTGCATATTCGTTGTTTAAATCTTTCTAGATGTAAAATAAAATGTTTCCTTGAATTTTTGTAGCGTATTTCGGTTTTTGTGCCAGTAAATCCAAATCGGTTAAGTTAAAGACAGCTTCTAAAATGTGACATTCAGACACTTTTTCAAGGCGAGTAAGATAGTGTGGTCCCCATAATGGATTTTTCGATTTTTGGAAAATGCGTAAAGTTTCGAATTGGGTGATGTCCTACAAGTGCACAAAAGACTTTATCTCTCTTGGTAAAGTAAGGTCTTAATTATTTTATCTCACTTCGTAAAGTTAGGTCTTAATTATTTTATTAGTAGGTCGTGATTTACTTCTTACAAAAACTTCTGGATTCCTCCTGCGCCGGCTTTTGTTGAGTCGAAACGTCAGCAATTTCGACTCAAAACCCCACGCAGGAGGAATCCAGAAATTTTGTAAAAACTATTACAGTAGCCTGTGGAAGTCTCTTTGAAAATTAAGGTCGTGAATTGTTTAATATTAACGCAATTTTCAATAAAACTTGAACATAAAGAAACCTACTCAACAAGTCTTGGGCAAATTACTAACTGTATGTTTTTTAAAAAGAAGAAGCCAGAAAAATCGTTGTTAATTTAATTAAAACACCTGAACAACCTACAAGCTGGATACAAATGGACATCCATCCTGTTGAAACCGGGTCCTTCTAAACTCAGCTCCGATTAGCGTACTTTTCTAATTTAACAGTTCATACTGATGCACTAGAGTTTTCTTTGATAGCTTGTAAAATGTTTCTGTCGCGATTTTCATTTTCAGTGTATCGGATTCAAAGTTGTTCGAAGTCCTCGTGGTTAATTAAATTAATTTTTCTAATTTTCATTTTATGAGACAAAACGCACTGCCTATTAAAACACAACTTTGAAACTTTAAACTATTTAACGTCAAATCAGGACACTATTTAGCCGGAAAAAACGTGTCATGTAAATCATAGCCTGCTTATAAAATAATCATGAGCCAATTTTACGAAGTGCAATAAAATCTTTTATCTACTCCCGTCTGTAAAATGAGTAATTACACTCCGATCTAGCGTGCGCCAAGCGTCATTTTACCATTTCAGTTTCGTTTCCCGCGGATCCGAGCCACTTCGGACATTTCCGGAATTTTACCGCATCGGTTTGGGAGCAATCGGATGTTTTCGGAGATATTTCCCACTAGTTGAATTGTGACGTTTGTCAATTCTGACGGTCATGTCAGTGAATCCATCCGTGTTTTTTTTTGAAAAAATGTACCCAAAATCTAACGGTCATAGAAAAAGTATAGTATGCAACACGTTCCGTAAACTTTTTAAGTCACTCGTTTATTAAACACTCACTCCGCTCATGTCCGATAAATTCGCGAGTCAAATGCCGTTTTCCGCACTTGTTGCATTATATACTATTGTGCACTTGTGAGAAATCACTGAAATGGAAGTTTTATGCTCTTTCCAAAAATTGAAAAATCCCATATGGCAGCTATAAAAAAAAGGCGGTTCCAAGAAAATGTCATACACGCTATCTGATTCGCCTTAAAAAAGTGCCTGAATAATGTCACATTTTGACAGCTGTCAACTTAACTGTTCTGGTGAAAAAAGAAATCTGCCATTTTCGGTTTTAATAGGTGTAATAGGAGCGGAAATCCCTGTATACAGAAGCGTATAATGGGCTAGTAGAAAATTGAACTGGAGGCTTTTACTTGATGAAAATCCATTTATCAAAATGAATAAGAACTAAAACCTCAGATTTTCACGAAATTATATATTTTGACATGACAATTGTTTCGACAACACCGTGTCTTTATCAAATCTAATATTTATAAATACCTGCTACTATATATACCGAAAAATGACCAAAAAACCTTAATTAAAATTGTTGCGAGAATTTAAGTTCAATAAAGGAGAGGTATTTAAATCTAATTGATCGATAAGCAATACATTTGAATGTCTCATTTTGTTAATCTCCATGGCTTCCAATAAATTTAATTTTCTACTTTTTGTGGCTGTATGTAATATATCAAAAACGAACAATTTAAAACAATTACATATATAGGAGAACCTAGTGAAAAAGTTCCAAAACATTTGTCAAAATGTGGTTTAAAAATAGCTTTTAGAACTAACAACACAATAGGAAAATATTTAAAAAATAATAAATCGAAATGTCCAAAATTCCAAAAATCAGTTGTCTACAGGTTGAAATGTGGATCTTGTCCTAAAATTTATATTGGACAAACAGGTAGATCTTGAAGAAACGCATTAACGAACATATAAGAGCGTTTAAAAACAATAGTCTAGATTCTAATTATGCTACACACTTAAACACAGAAAAACACATTTTTGACGACAATTTTGATATTTTACATACAGCCACAAAAAGTAGAAAATTAAATTTATTGGAAGCCATGGAGATTAACAAAATGAGACATTCAAATGTGTTGCTTAACGATCAATTAGATTTAAATACCTCTCCTTTATTGAACTTAAATTCTCGCAACAACTTTAATTAAGGTTTTTTGGCCATTTTTCGGTATATATAGTAGCAGGTAGTTTGTAAATATTACATTTGATAAAGACACGGTGTTGTCGAAACAATTGCCATGTCAAAATATATAATTTCGTGAAAATCTGAACTTTTAGTTCTTATTTTTTTTGGTAGTAGAAAATACTGAAACGGTTAAATGTCTCCAATACTGCCAAATCTGGAACGATAAAATTCAAAACCTTGGGGATTTTGAATATGCAAAACTTTGTTTCAATTAATTACTGAACTACAACAGCACTGCTTTTTATAACATAGTATCGGAGCGCTTATATATATCCAAAACTGCGAAAGCTCTAACGATAAAATTCAATACCTGTGATTTTTTTAACATGCAGAATTCAAAAATTGCTAACAACAATTTTGTCAGGTTTGGAGATGATGTTTATAATTCTGGTAACCTTTGGCTGATATACTTCTAAAGTTTGCTATGTTCAAATAGCTTCAATATTCTGAGATGCTAAGATGGTAAATCTGACAACTGGCAATCACTATTAGCAATTTGCAGGTGTTGAATTTTATCGTTCTTGCTTTGGCGGAGATATTTAAGCCTTTCGGCATTTTTTTTCTACTAAAGGCATAATATACAGGGCGTGCCATTAAGAAGAATGAGAAAATGAAGACAATTCGTTAAACCTAACTAAGTATTGAAAATTTCGCGGTTAATCCGGAGCGCCCAACCAATGCTTCCCCCTCTTATGGGACTGGTAAATTCTTAGCGCGAGCATTTGTGATGTTAGTTTACATATGGTCGCTGTGAGATGGAGATGTCTTCTGAATATCTAGAATTTTGTGAATGTTTTGGTACATTTGAATGATAAATAAATAAATAAATATTTCCTTGACATATCATGAACCTATAAAACATAAACAAAAAGTTGCAATCGTGCTTATCCATACCGAAAACTAAAATGTGCCTACCTGACGCCCGGACCAAACGCTTACTTGATACTGACACCAACATTACAAGTTACCAAAGGAGTTGAAAGGTATAATCCAAGGAAACAACGTCCGAAAATCCGTACAAGCCCAACGGTCAAGGAGGGCTTTGAAATAGCAGAAGGAAATTAAAAGCGAAAAGGACCTAAAGAAGAAGGAAAAAGAAAAATACTTAAAAAAAACTGTAAAAGGATGTTTTGATGAAGAAATTCAAGACAGAAAAAACTTAAATGTAAACAAAAGATGAAGACAGAGGCAACACATCAGAACTATGATTTCTCCGACATATACGACGATAATGAAACAGATGTCGACTTACGCTAGAAATATACCTAGACGCTGAATCAACGATCCAGCCATATAAAATGGACTGCCACCATTTCCCATGTAACATTAATGTAGTGTCAAAGCCCTTTTCACATTAATTGTTCGTTTTTAGTTTTAAGAAAAGCCCTGCTTATTATCTGCCAAAACAACTTCCAATCCTGATGCTATTTTAAAAGTGATTTTTTATGTACTTAAATTGTTTTATTCTCACTGGTGATTAATTAATAGTTTAGATATTCATAAAAATATTTCATCATATTTTTTATATAATATAAACTGTCATTGAGAGAAAACCTCTGCCAGTTAAATGTCGGTACCGTGTCATGTCCATTTCTGAAATTTATATTATTTGTCGCAATAAATTAAATGAAATTAAAACTAATTAACTCATAAATTCTTATTTCTATGATCAAACTAAAAAAAATTGCACCTTTTTTAGTTATTGTTTCGAGTCAACACTGAATTCCGGTTCAATAACTTTTGTCTTTAAACTTTAACGAATCATTCAATTTAAATTAATGACTCGAGCGCCATCTACCTTGAGCTTTGGGAGACGCCTAGTGAATCATGTTGATTTTCATCTGAGTACTTTTTGCAAACATGGAGTTGATGAAATAGTGCAAGGAGTTTATATGATTTTACAGTGAAACGAAAAATTTGAAATTTGTTTCTCGTTCCTGACGCTTTGAAGTTGTAGTAAAATCCTAGTAAATCTTATTTTTTTTTTTAACTAAAAATGTTACAGTTAGAACGGAGTCACCCATATGTTTCATATGACACGGAATTATGACACCGCTTTGTGTTTATTTTTCTTGGGCCATGCAGAATTTACAGGGGTAGACATGCCGAAAAATTATAATGTTACGTTGAACAACAAATATTTTTTATAACAGATCATTATCATCATCATTACCTGACCCTTGCGCCCGCTGGGGTGGTTGTGCCCAAATGCATTAAATGTTATGCCTGTGTTGTAATATTTTTCTTAAATGTTATTTTAATTACGCAAAGAAGAATAACTGCTGCAACTCATAGCGTTCTTGAAATTAGTTCATTAATCCTAGTCTGACCACAAATAAAATTTTCGCTTAAGTGCGCATCATTCTCCAACTCTCTATACATATATTTTTGTTTTTATTACAAAATCCAAAAATATTTAAGAATTGGCACACAGTGTATAATCCAAAACTCTAAAAATTCCCTTAAATACAAAGAACTATTGCGAGTTTTGAGAAGAGCACCTTATGTGGGACATCCGATACGCTCCGGAGGTGAAAATCCATAGACCTCAAATTAGATGCTCTAAGTGGTCAATTTTACAGTTTCCTAACCCGTTTTACGTAAATAAAACGGAAAACATGCCAAACTTTATCACAATCAATCCAACTGCAAAAACTTTGGGTTTGATAGAAAATATTAAATAAGGTGCAAAAAAATGTTGCACCCTGCAATGTTATAAGCGGTGCCGTATTTGAAAAAACAAAGTTTTGCACTTTGGAAAATATGAACTTGTAAATTTCGGCGACAAAAAGAAAATTAATCAAGATATTTAATAAATTGTTGAAATTAACTAAAATCCTGAAGCTTGAAGGAATCTACCAAGGAATTTCCTTAGAAATTCGAAATTACAATAATAATCTGGGAGTTTCATTAATATAATTTCATGCAGCACATTTAAACAAACAACTTTTGTATTTAAAGTTGGTCAATAAAATCAACTATTCTGATGTAAATCAATCCAGCAATAGTGAGCCGAGTATATTTTGTAAGCGCCACGGAACTTTTGGCAAAATATACGTGCATAGAAATCGGCACACTGTAAACTTTCGAAACAATTTAATGTGCTTTAATATGGGCTTACATTTGTCAAAAATACTAATGTTTTATGCACATAGCAACGGGTAAACAAATGAAATGTGCCTATGTGAGAGTTATAATGAAAACAACAAACTTCTCAAAGAAGTATATTTGCAACCCAAATTTTCACATTATTTGTTTTTAATATTTTGGTTAGTAGTTAAGTATATGCATACCAGAAGAAGGCTGCACTAAAGAAACCTGAGGTCAAAAACACCTGCAATGGATGCTGGGCTGCAATTTATATGGACGCACGAACCCAACCTGTTTTCAACTGTAAGGGGACCATGGTCAAGGCAGAGGAGGCTTAACAGGTGCTAGGTACATAGAAGAGATTTTAAAAAAATCGTTTTTATGCATGACAATGCCAGGAGTGACCAGCATGTAGTCCCGATCTCAATGCAACGAAGAATTCAAGCTAGAAATTGTACCCCAACGTCGATCCCAGAGCTTATTGTTGCAGTGGAGGAGTGGTTTAACATTTCACAATAGAGAATAGCAAACTTCATTACATCCCCTGCCTAATGGTGAAATAGCTGCTATTGGGGTAAGGTGGGGTCATAACCATCATTAAAAAATAAGTGTTTAGTTGTTAATAGTGGGTAAAACTATTTCTTTTAGTATTAAACAAAGTTAATTTTCCTCAAGCAGTTATTTCACTTCGCCAAACCTAATAAGTCGAAATAAATTTTAATCAATTAAAGCATATTAAATTGTCTTTCAAACAGTATATTTATTTGATCTGACGACTGATTTCTGAAAAAATTTTTAATTCAAGTGAAAATGTTACAATGGGCCGGGCAGGTTTAACGCTGACCTTTATCCGCTGCCGATTCACTGCCACCGCCTTGTCCTTTGGTTGCCATCCTTGCCCGACAAAGATCCTGGTAGTCTTTACTAGCTTCGGTCTCAGGTCGCGACAAGCCTCGAAGCTTTTCTTTGGACTTGACGTGGCGTCTGATAAGCGTGAGAACTATCGTAGCCAAGATCAAAGCAACCAACACGCCGCACACCAAGAAGAGGACGATGTATTGGTTCTCCGTAACGATGCGATTAAACAGGACGGTCTGCATTTTCACCTAAAATTAAATATAAATACAAAAAAGAGAATATTGCAGCTCGGCTCGTCTGAAAATATTAAAGTGCTAACAAGATTGTAATGCTTACTTTGGTTCCCACGCCGACAGACACTATTTCAACTCCCGAAAGCTTCTCCAATTCCTCTTGAATCGTTTCTAGAAAAACGTTTAAAGTAAGACATCGAAATTGGTATTTACTGTAACGCTTCCAATTTAGTTCTAGTGTCAAAAAAATCTTGTAAAACCATAACACCAATAAATTATCTGATTTAGTAAAACCAATACCGGGCTGTCCATGTACAGGGCGAGTCGACGAAAAAGTAAATTTCATTATCTCATTGGTTTCAAAAGTTATGAGAAAATTGTAAATACAAAGGTTTTTAAGATTGTTAGGATGCACAATTTAAAATTATTTTAAAATCGAACATCCTATTTTAGAATTTCGTTTTGAATTCGTTTTGAAATTCTTCAACTGCTTTATTAATACATACGTACACACGCAAACCTAATAGCTTTTTTCAATATTGTAATTTTTCTAAAAAATACTAATTTTCACACTTGCAAAGAAATATTTGAAATTAGCGTTATTCGAAGATGACGTAAAAGATATACAGGGTGTTCCTAATTGAATGTCAATAATTAAAGGGATGGTTTTGGGTCCATTTACAAAAAAAAAGTCATTTGAACATATGGCCTTCAAGTCTTAAATTTTGAGATACAGTGTGGTAAAGTTTTCAATAATAAAATATTTATTTTAATTTGAAATACAGGCTACAATATCTTGTTTAGAAAAGGAGCATCATTTACTTGTTTTTCTAGTGACAAGTTAGACAAGTTAAGTTTTGCTCATAGGTCACGAGTCAACAAATTCTGGACATGAAGTGGTATGGATAGCTATACATTTGCTCCGCCATCTAATTCAACGCCTACTTCGATTAGTAAACGAATAATGCCGATTGCTGAAGTCCTAGTGCAATGAATCATTATCGAAAACGAAGACGTGTATCGATATTAAACAAGATTGCTTTCGAAATCTCGTCGCAGAGCGCACGGTCTACGCAATATACAAAGCCTAGCTTTGTATTTTAAAGTATTCTTGTCTTTTGTTTAATATATTTTCGCCATATTGGGAAGTTACTAAATAGATTTAACGCCAAGTGGTTAGGCTACCCGTTCCACATCTATTTCTGTGTTTCACCGAGCGCTGCCGATTGATCTCAGTTGTTCGGGGCAGACGAAACTAGAAATGCGTGGAAGTCGAAGGACGTAATATTTTTGTGCTCTGCGTCTTTTGAAATTAAAAAGTAAAATAAATAAGTGTGAACAATATACAGTCCATTCAATTAATATTAGTAAGGAGGCCATAGGCTCGACAGAACCGTTAAAATAAACCCAGCATCTTTTTTGTGCATGTATCCAAAGCGTCTTTCACTTCTCGCCGAACTTCAAAGTTACGGCAAACTTTGGTAAATATAAAAGTTTATACTAGTAGTACTTTAGAATTTTGGCCTGAAAAGTAAATGTTGTATCCCTGAGTCTCCCACGTTTTCTAGTAAATGAACTTTTCAAATATTTATTTTATACGAATTTTTTTCAGGGCTAATAATTTATTTCGGGTTTTTGACCATAATGAAAAACTCTGGATATAATCGAAAAATTCTTGAGGTTTTAGTCCCGAATCTCCCGCGTTTTCCAACCAAAAAATAAATAAAAAAATAAAAAAATATGCTTGGTTGAAGTCTATAGCTGCAAATTTAGCTCGGAATATCTTAAACACCCTGTACATAGTTAAAAACCTTAAATGCTAAAGTGTTAGCTATACACCTGTTTTTACAACCAATTTTCTATTAAAGAAGCACTCAGTTTTTAGTTTTAGGTAAAAAATGCATTAAAAAAAATCTTATTCTTGGTGATTTTAGACTCGGACCCTAGCGACTTGGATGTTCCGCGTCTGTTCGTTCAAAAATTTTTTAAATGTGAATAACGGTTTCTGAGATTTTTTTTTTCGCTTAGACCCTTGCAATTGTGGTTTATGAATTTTTAGAAATACTTCCCGACCCTCCGGCGCCCAGTTTTAATAGGTTGTGTTGGGGAACTTAACTCCATACCTTTGCCAAATTTGAATGCGATCGCTTTAATCTCAGACACTAATCGTGTTCCATAGCGATCTAATGAAAATAGAGAAAAATATGTAAAAAAAAGATGGACGCCAATGTCCGATCCACGCCATTTCCTGTAGGTTTATGTTTCGTAGGGTATTTAAATTTCGTCAAATTTCAACGCTTCATTTCAAACTGTTTGGAAGTTATTCTTGTTTTATTAAGCGTCGACAGAGAATAGAGATCAGAGAATAGCGACGCTGTACGACGCACCGTTTCCGAGTTATGTTTCGTTGCCAAGCCCGTATACTTTCGAAAAAGTCGATTACATGGATTTTTCCAAAGCAACAAGAACACCTTTTTTGGGTAAGAAGTTATAATGAAATGTTCCATTCAAATGTATGTAATTAGCGCCCACTGCATACAACCTAGCAACTATCTTCAGATTTAAATTGCTCATCCGCAAAAATTGGTCCAAATTTTTACGTTATGCGAATAAATAAGAAATTGAAAATTAAATTTGAACGCCCTGTATTTCTGAAACGAGCAATATTTTACTCAAGCATTTTTGTTTCAAGCGATATATATTGACGGCTAGAATCTACGGTTACTCTGTGACCCATTACGGACCACCGTGTATAGGCATCAGCGTTTTTTACAGAGGATTTTTTAAGGCTTTTGCAAAATGTCTCGACTATTCAAAGCCTACAAAAAAATGAAAATAAATAACACAATAAATACACAAATTCTACCTCAGCGAGACGCGAAACCTACACATACCTATTCGTCTAGCGACGTCACTCTCATTGTATCCCCGGTTATTGTTTGGATTGACCTTAAAGGCGACGGAGTTTGTCCAGACGCTAAAAACAACGAGATTCGATTGAACTAATAATACTTCTACCAAAATATTTACGTACTGGCCGTCGACGAAATCGTTGGGTTCCATATGAAGGAGATTCGATATATTTCTGATTATGTCCTTCCCCAGTTTCCAATCTCTAAGGTACTTTTTAAATTCTATATGCACATACGCTCCCTCCGAATCTTTTGATTGGTTATCGCTATACATGTTCGGATTTCCACCCGCTCTGGGTTCCTTTTTTATCATAGACGGTATGAAGTCCTTTTGGGATAATCTACGCTTCAGATCGGCTGCAATTTTTTAATATAAATATTGTTAAAGTTGTGGCCGATTACACGGTACAACACAAAGTTTGAGTTTTATTTTAAAACAAAAGCATATAAATCTAAATATATATATATATATATATATATATATATATATATATATATATATATATATATATATATATATATATATATATATATATATATATATATATATATATATATATATATATATATATATATATATATGACGTAAACAAGTTTGCTTTTGAATTTCAGGGACCAACTGAAGTATATTTTTCAAAGTCTGTGGTTTTAATTTTTAATTAAAAATAAAACATCCAAATAAATATGTTTATAAATTCTATTCTAAAATAATTTAAAAGTGGACGCTTTTACTTTTTCTTTTACAAGTACTTTTTATTGGATTAGCCTTGATAACGTTGTTCGAAGCTCCTAATTATCTAATGAAAACGTCCTCCTCAGTCTTCTGAATACACTCCCATGTTATTTTTAAATTTAATCTAGATTAGCATGCAACTTTAAAGACATCCTGCAGCCCATAGGCTTAAATTTTTTTAGGAACTAACTTTTCGTAGTTTTCAGCTTTGTTATTTCCTAAAAATGCTAAAAAACTGCTGCTCTAAAACTGGTCCATATTGCTTTTTGAATACGACTAATCAGCGTTGGAAATGTTTCGTCGAAAATCGGTCTCATTTGCCGATCAACAAAAACTCCACTTTTAACCTTTGCATCTGGAAACTTCCGAAAAAACTTTTTTCAAGTACTCAAAGGCTTCTGAAGTTTCATCCAATGTTTCAACAAATTGTTTCATTAACCTTAACTTAATTTTGCGTTTTGTTGTCCGACAGATTGTTCTGTCCTTACAAGTCATGATCGTTGATTATAATGCTTAGAATTCGCTCTGCTTTCCCATAAGCACAAATAACGCGGATACTTTGTATATCCGCTCTGTAGTCCCATTAAAATCTCCAATCAGCTACCAGTTGTACTTGCGATACTTTACAGATTCAAGCAAGATTTTAACATTTTCATAATCTTCTTTTAGTCTCGAGCTTTAATCGACCACACATATAACAAAAAGAATCAGCACAATATTTACACTTTCGCAACGACATTTTAAGATTTTCTATACAAAACACCTGATCATTGTTTATTACTCAAATGCCATCAAGCGGCACTATGTGAATGTAAAAACCCCACTCTGTTAGCGCAGTATTTTTGAATTTATTAAAAGTAAGTAAAATTCATAAATAAAATGAGTATTATTATTATTATTATTATTATTATTATCATTATTATCATTATTATTATCATTATTATTATTATTATTATTATTATTATTATTATTATTATTATAACCACCTCAAAAGCAAACTTTAGACGAAAAATCATAAAATAAACTTTAGCATAAAGAACGAAAATTATTTTGTAGAGTCGTGTTATTCAAACCTCTTTCCTTCAATCCCGTAATTTGTGTATCGAATGGCGGACCTGGTTTTTTAACGTCTAACCTCTCCGGGCGTTTGAAACCCATATCATCCAATATGTTGTCCAAGTCAACCCGGAGGTTTATTAGTTCTTCCTGAGTTTCTTTAAAGAGAACAAAAACGGCATTAAATTGAACAAAACCAATAACCAAAATATTTTAATTGGTAATGTAATTTCATCTTCATTTTGACTCACCAACAGCTCCAGGTTCAGCTCCGCCCTCACTGTAGACGACGGGTTTTTCCTGAAGTTTTTCCCAATTTCGATCGATCTTTTCATTGTCCTGCTTTTGCCTTTGTTCCATTTCGCGAAAAAACTGTCGCTTCGGTATTGGAAAGTCCAATTTGCCTTCTGTAAACATTTCTGATGGTTGTCCGTTATCGGTATCGGACTCGAGTTGCTCTACTTGGTCTGAAAAACAACCGCACCTGTACTTACGTTTCTTTTAAACGTCCCACAATGGATGTGTGTATTAAGTTTTCACTATTTTTTATTGTCATAAATTTTACGAAACATTGTTTACAAATGTTCTTTGCATCAGAGCACTTTAACATAGCAAAAATATTACATTATTTTTGTATACATATTCAAATAAAATAAGTTACCAGGTACCAGGTTATAATTTGAGGTAATTAATATTAAACACATAGGTACTTAGTTATATTCACTGTCAAAGCTCGAATCTGTATTAACAACATGTTGTGGAATTGGTAAACGAGGGTTACAGAGCAACATTCTGACTTCTTCACCTAAAGACTTCAAAGAGTGGCATATTTGCTCTTGCTCTTGCGATGGAAGAAATAGTCGGATCGTAGGAATACATCGAAGTATTTAATAAATCATGCATCTTTGTGAATGTCGACCGAATGATTACCGGTATAAGTAATCCCCCCTTGTCAGCCAACAGCTACGGGTGGAGGAGCTGATAAGGGTAAGGGCATCGTATTGTCCTGGGATTGAGAAACCGACCCTAAAGGCGGATGAATTACAAATAAGTAATCAACGGAATACGGATGTGGAAAGCCACGGGAAACTAAAGATCCCGTCGGGATATCCCATGAACACTTATGATGTTAAAAGGTAATAGTATGCGTGTGCCACGTGGGTTCCGGCCAACAAGTGTGAAATTAGTGACCGAGAAGACAGATGTCTGCAGCTAGAGCTCCTGGAAAAAATATCACTCTTCCCCAAAAATCCAAATTGAATATTGCTACGTGGAATGTGAGAGGGCTTCTGAGCGTAGGCAAACTCCAAATATTAGAGAGGGAGTTAATGGCGACTGAAACAGATATATGTGGTCTGACAGAAGCCCACTGGAGAGGTAAGGGACATTTCACAACTAATGACTATCGGATTTTCGTGTAAGGCTCAGACAATGTAAGTCAAAATGGAGTAGCAATAGTGATCAATAAACGAATGGCCAAATACGTGGAGAGCTACCAAACAATCAAGGACCGCATTGTTAAATTTACTGTCCGTACAAAGACTGCTAACATGCATCTCATCCAGGTGTATAAGCCAACAACTGACGCAGACGACCAACAAGTAGAGGATATCTACCAGGAAATAGAGCAATTAGTTTCAGTCATACCAAAAAAAAAAAACCTTAATCATCATAGGCGATTTCAATGCAAAGGTTGGAAAGGCCACTAATAAAAGCAACTTACAGAATACCTTGGGTTGGTACGGGCTTGGAGACAGAAATGCTCGAGGAGAGAGGCTCATTCAATTTGCAATAGACACCAATCTCACTATCACAAACACCATGTTTAAACACCACCCTAGACGACTCTGAACTTGGACATCGCCCGATCAAAAAACAAAAAATCAAATTGATTATATCTTTATAAGCTGTAGATGGCGGTCCTCTATTACCAATGTTAAAACAAGACAGATCATAAACTCTTAGTGGCAAGCTTTCAGCGCAAACTAAGGGCAGTGAAATTAAACCAGACGATAAGGTGTCCAATACTTTCTACTGAGAAAATAACGACAGCACTGAGCTCTGTCGAAACGCCTAGACAAAAAGATGACGCACAAGAAATGGGGAATGATACTAGAGCTTGGATAAATGAAATAGTAAAAAAAAAACTACACGTAGAAATTCAGAGATAAAAGCCAAACCTTGGTTATCTGATAACACTGTCAGTTTGCTGAAAACACGAAAACACCTAAAAGCCTCACCAGTAACAATATTTGATAGAGAGTTAAAATTAAAAAACATAAATAAAGAAATAAAAATCAGCTGTAGACAGGATAAAAACGCACACATTCACAAAATCTGCATGGAAATAGAAAGGCACTCCGCAACCAACGAATATAGGGAACTGCTCAATAAAGTAAAATACCTCTCTCGTGAGTTTAAACTTCGCACACCAATTATACAGGACGAAAATGGTAGAATGATTACCGATCCGGATGGCATTGCTGAGGTTTGGCGGAAATGCTGCACTAAACTTAATTGACAATGGCGGTGCAACCATCACTAAAAACACCAAACTAAGATTGTTGAATTCACTTGTGTTCTCGATCGATGCAAGGCGCCTTTGAAATGTGGTTGTTACGGATACCCTGGACGGCCCACCGTACGGATGAGTCCATTCTTGAAGAACTAAATACTCAACTAAATCTGTCAGGAGCGATAAACCGAAGCTTTCTAATATTCATTGGCTATATTGCAAGAAGAACGGACTCACTGCAACTCTTATTAGTCAAAGGAAAGGCAGCCCGCGCGGAAGGTCACCCAAAAGATAGATAGACCAAACCAAGGATCTTATCATAATCATAGCTCAGAATAGAACGGAATGGCACAATACTATAAGCTCTGCTCCAAGAGCATCATAGTCACTAATCCCTTCTTAGGGTAATTGCCTAAACACACACAGAGAGAGAGAGAGAGAGAGAGAGAGAGAGAGAGAGAGAGAGAGAGAGAGATCATGTTTTTTTCAGGTTTTCATGTTAAATTCCCTAATTCCTAAAATTTTTATTTCGAAATTCCAATCCTTTTTCTGAAAGCATTCCGATTGGCAACACAACAGCTTTTTTTATGTCAGCAACATATAACAAAATCTTACAGATACTAGATGGCATGTAGTACCATGAGTACTGCTCTAAATAAACCTTAGCAGTTTCATTGTTTTTAAGATAATGGCTAGCTCTTGATCAGCCTTTCATCAATACCTGTTATAGTTGATGCAAGCGATGTTGCCATTATTTGTTGTTCCATAGTCAGGATTCGGTATATCTACGAAAAGATTCTCTTTTTTTTTCATATGGTCGGTTATTTTTTTTCTTCCTGTCTTCCGGGTTGCGAATTTGCCTCTTTTAGGCAGTAAAGTCCGTATGAAATGTGCAAGATCCACTGGAAGCATGGAATCTATTCTCGTAAAGTTGAAAACCCATATTCGTAAAACCTTTTATTTAAACTTGCTACATAAATTTTGAACACTTATTTTAGCTTGCTTATATGTAGCATCCTAATCATCAAAATTTAAATCAATTGTATTGCAAACATGATTTAAAACAACTGAAATAAGTAACAATATTATTTAAATGAGCACCTACCTAATTGTTAATAATTTACCAAAGGAAGTTTTGAACCATCACTTGGACAAATGAATCAATTATTTGAAACTGACGATAAATATAGGATTACTGTGCGAGCTCCACCAAGTTATAATTCGTTAATCATTTTGAATTGAGTGACGTCAGGTAGGCTGATTATTTGAGGTTGTTACATATAACTTTAGGCAAGTGAGTCGGTCGAATTTTTGTGCTTTGGGGGACAACGGAGTTCATGCTTCGAATCGGCAGATTGTTGTCGACATTTCTAGCTATAGTTTTGGAAAGCGGCACCGAGCATACATGATCGGTTCGGCAAAAACTACTTTTTGGAAAAAATCGTTGAAGGTTTTTTATCCGTTATGTTTACTAGTGTTTAGGTTGCTGCATTTTTGCGGGATTTGCCATAGTTTTAACCTCATTTGGTTTTTAAAAATTACTTTGTCAGTGTAAATAAATCCTAAATATTGTAAAAAATATTTAAACACTGCGTTTGGGTTCGGAGCATCACGACTTATTTCTAAAATTTGCGAAGAAACACCCCGAAATAATAACAAATAACTGGAGAGAACTCTCAGGACACGACAATTAACAAAATTTATGGAACACTCTCACCAATGAATTAAATGGTTCAAAATAAACAAGAACCAAAAGTGCAGATTCTCACGAAATTATATATTATGACATGACAATTGTTTCGACAACACCGTGTTTTTATCAAATTTGATAAAGACACGGTGTTGTCGAAACAATTGTGATGTCATAATATATAATTTCGTGAGAATCTGAACTTTTGGTTCTTATTTATTTTGATAAATGGATTTTCATCAAGTAAAAGCCACCTCAGTTCAATTAAATGGTTATTGAACATTAACTACATCAGCGTACAAAAGAGTAATTATTTTTAATTCCTTATATATCACCTTATTTGTGGATTAGTAGGTATGTAAATATAACTAAAATGGGTTGGTGCGGGTTTGTTACTTTACTTTTTGAGAAAGTTAATTTTATTTAGAGATTGACTGGCTGGAAGACAAAGGCTAAAAGCAAAAGTTGTTGAAAATAAGCATAATGTTACTGGGACTGGAGGACGGTCATTAAGTCATCATAAAAAAATGTCATTGGCACTATAGAGAAATAAGAAATGAGGGTGATACAGTAGAGGAATTGGGGTTAGGCTTCTCTAACGCACTTGAAGATGATCAAAACTTCGAGACTGGTATTTGTTAAACCTCAATCATTTCAACTTATAACTCGCATACGCCAAATAAACAGTGTAGATAAGTTGAATGAAAATATGCCACATCATTTGGTGAAGTTTCTAATGAAGTTCAATTAGAAACAGATGAACACAATTACGCCGGCACAAACACTCCCATAGCCAATACTTAAGAAACAGATAGCTCATTATCTAAGGGTTCAAAGTCTACAGACAAATTAATGACCTTGGTACATTGTAAAAGGCATGAACCATAAAACGCTAACTGTTTTGAAGGACATTGGCAACAATTTCGGAGGTACTAATGGAAATCTAACCTCAATAAGTAAATCATTAAGCTTATTAAGTGAGGCAATAGCAAAAAAAATTGCATAATCTTATATTTATTTATAATTAAATTTAAAATAAATTTTCTATATGAATCAAACATAGTTTTATTTATAATTATACATAGCCCTAAAAAAAATTAAATTAAGATTTAACAACAAAAAAATGTACTTGTGATATAATAGTATATTATGGAACAAGTACGGTAAACGGCATTTGACTCACGAGTTTTTAATAAACGAGTGATTAAAAAGTTTACCGAACGTGTTGCATACTATACTTTTTCTACGACTGTTAGTTTTTGGGTACATTTTCGCAAAACAACACGAATGCATTCACTGACATGACCGTCAGAATTGACAAATTCAAAGCGTGGGAAATATCTCTGAAAACATCCGACTGCTTCCAAATCCGTGCGGTAAAATCCCGGAAATGTCCGAAGGGGCTCGGATTCATGGGAAACGAAACTGACGTGGTAAAGTGACGCTTCCCGCACTCTAAATCGGTCGGTAATTAGGTATTTTACAAACGGGAATAGAAAAATAAAATTATTTACGTTTTCAAAATTTCTCAAGAGTTTTGAGACAGGTAAATTTTTGATCCTCGGATGCGTTCTTCATTCATGAAAAATAGGTCATTGTCATTTCGAATAAATCTTCGCTCTCGATTCATTTTCTTCTTTTCTCAGTATTACATGATTGAAAATATGAATGGGAAGCATCTGCAAATTTCATGCATACAATATAGAAGTAAATCCAATAGAGAAGCAGCAATTGCTCACCTTTTTTACGCAAATCTTTAATTATAAAAAAAATAGAAAATTAACTACAAACTTTATTATTTATTAAAACATGTTATTTGGGAATACGTCCCTATCTTTACCATACACATGTAAGCGACTTTAATCGGCACTTCCGATTGCCAGTATTTGCTAAAAATATAAGTCGAAATGTTGTTTCAAAAGTATGAAGTAAAGTATGAACTCAGTCGTCCCTCTAGACACCAATTCCTCAATGTGCCTTCCCAGTAATGCCGCAGAAATTTATACGATGTTTAGCAATACGTTTCACAGGCTGCGAAAGTCACTTAAGAAATACGTGCTTGAAATTTAGCCACTAACCTTCATTGTAGTAAATTCTTGGCTCGGACAACACCTCGTCGCTAGAGATTACATCTCTAGACTCATATCCGTCCCTGATGTTATTCCGAATATTGTAAGGGAATCGCTCTCTTAGATCGGCCAATCTCTGCTGAAACAGTTTCTTCGGAAGCATATCTGGATAAAGACGGTTCCCTTCCTCAAAGCGTGCCAGAAGTTTTTGAAGTTTTTCGTAGTTTTCGGGACTTAAAAATTCGTGGATTTCGTCCGGTGTCAGCTGCGATAAATACGGTCACCTGAACGTGAAAATTCTGCAAAAGCAACCATACCCGCATGTCCAAAAATTTTATTGTAGGTTTTGGATTCCCTACACCCGTTTGTATATTGTCGTCTTCAAGTAAGTCGTAGTTTTTCAGCTCCGCGGGATCGATTTCGCTGGACTCGAATCCATGATATTTCTTAATTCCATACCTTTCATCGAAAAAAGGCGTAACAGAGTGACGCTTCATCGGCGGAATCCACTTTCTTTTCACTGCTGCGTAATCCGCATAAGGATCGCCCATGTCCATTACTATAAAAAAATACCTAAAGCTTCCCGAAATCGCCAGATTGTAAGGGACACGAGCCAACTGACATTACATTTAGTTACTTACTTCCGACGGGGTTGGTACCCAAAATTTGCTTTCTCAGTTCCTCACGCGCTCTGTTGTCGCTAGGCGGATAGTATACTTCGTCCGCATATTCTGTATGCTCGTTCTCGGCGCTAGGAGTGTACTTGATGATAGCTATTTCCTGTGGATTTAACTCTACTTGGCCCTCTAGAGCCTTTAGCGCCCCTTCCAGGTCGTTATCGGTAAGATGCGTGCATGAATCCAATTCAAAGTCTATGCTGTAACGAAAGCGTATGTGATAAATGGCCATAACTTGTCTGGCCTATCATACGGATGACCCTTTACTCTCAATAAACCAATTAAAAGTATATTTACAAGCGTTTCTGTACAAGAGGTCTCAAATTCGACGCTCATCATTGGGATTTCGGAAACCGTAAGAGATCCAGGGTAGGTTAACTATAATCAAAGTTTGATTGTTGACCGATTTGATACTCAATAAACTGCCGTTTTGCATTTTGAAAAATTCCAATTTTGGTTAGTTTTGTGATTGCGATAATGTAAAATGAAAAACACATTTTAATAACTACTTTTTCTGTTCTAGAACTCAGTATGACTAAATATTGAAACTGACGTTTTCGCTTCTGGCAACCATCATCAAATTTTTTTTAAATGCGGAACTGATTTTTCTCAATTTAATTAAATTCTTTCATCACTCTTATAACAATATATATCGTCACTTTGAGTGAGAAGGTAAAAAAAAACTGATTGAAATCAAACAGCGCAAAATTGCTTTATTAACAGAAACGTTCATGAAATTAAAAATAGGATACAGACCAAGCACACAACAAATCAGTTTACATAAACAATTTGTGCAATACTATCTTGATACCCATATTAAAAATAAAGATAATTTAATCGCTATAAGTCTTCAACCTTCTGCCTTGATGAATTTTCTTGCTTTGCTACTCATCTTAAACGGCAAAAGTTTTGGTATTTTCTTCTTTCGAAATGCGTGATATGATAAAAAGCTATTATAATTGAAATCGAAATTCTCAACTAGCAAGTCCACAGTAAATGGAATTGTATCCAGAAAGACCGCAGCCTCGCTTTAGCCGTTTCGTTATTTTATACCATAATTTGATCCTATATGGTAGTTTTCATAAACCAAGAAGAAAATATGGGTCCCGGGAAACTGCTGAAGTTAGTTTAGTTTAGCTGGTTAGTTTAGTTTTTATTTTTCTATCTTTTCCCACAATCCATTTAAGGTTAGCAACCCCTGGAAATCGACCAAACAAATTCCTCATGAACTCAACAAACCCAGGAATACAAAATATTTGACATTCTCATAGCTACAAAGCGTTTGAAATACACGCCAGTCAAACACTCAGACCAGGAGATAATGAAAGCGCTTGAGGTTTCGTAACTGGTTAGTTAAAAAAAATAGATGAAAATGTAGATTTCGTTTATAATATATTATTCACGCAGCTTCTCAACTAACGGATTATTCAATACAAACAATGTACTATTGATAATCCAAGAATAACCAGCAGAAGCCAATTTCTTAATAAATGGATAGGAAACAATAGTTTTGTGAGATGGCCCGCTAGGAGCCCAAATCTCAGTCCAATTGATTATTGGTTATGACAAAAACACAAAGCAAAGCAAGAAAATGCATCTAGGCAGAAGGTTGTCTCTTTGAACATTCATAGTGATCAAATTATATTTATTTTTAATATGTGTATCAAGATAGTATAACACAATTGTTTATGTAAACTGATTTATTGTCTACTTTTCTTTGTATCTTATGTGTAATTTAATGAAAGTTGCAATAAAAACATCACGAAAATGTGATAAGTTTGTTCTTTCTCATCTAATTATGTAGTTCAGGGCCGTTTTATGGATAAACAAATATAAAATATTCTGGTATTGGAATTCTCTGTACAACATGCTGCCAAATATGAAAATGACAATACAGGGTGTTTTAAGAATAATGGAAGAATTCAATTAACTTGAAAAAAAAGGTCTTTATTTTAAAAAAATAAGTTGATGATGGTCGCCAGAAGCCGTAGCCTCATATTCAATATTTAATCATACTAAGTTATCAAGCAGAAAAAGTGGCCATGAAAATGTGTCTTTTATTTATTTTAAGTTATGTTATCAAATCAAGCCAGGAGACAATGGGAATCAATATCGAAAATTACGTTTTTTTCGAATATTTTCGGAAGTATGCGGAATTTTTCAAAACGCAAAACGGCATTGCGCAATTTTGCCTCCATTTAACCGACGATGCATCTCTTATGGTTTCGGAAATCCCAGTGATGAGCGTCGAATTTAAGCCATCCTGTACAATCATTTTAATAGTGTCGACAATACGAAATTATTTAGGTTTTGCCAATAGTGGTGCTACAGTCATTACTTGTGAAGAAGGTGTGATTTGAATATGTGCTGCATCGTGAGGAATCGTTTTACGAGTATATGATGGTAACATTTCATCAGGTATCAAAATGACAAGTTAACATTTTTTGAAAAAAGTAAAAAATTTTCTTCTTCCAAATATACCATCACGCAGCGTAATAGTTTATGATAATGCTAGTTATCAAAGCACTTTAGTTAAAAAAGCATGAAGATGCGTATACAAATAAATAACTAATTGAAGTTTTAAGAACCAAAACTTATTTCGTTATAAAAGATCCCGTAATATACCTTTTAGATTACCACCTTATGGAAATGATATGGGCCGTCTTAAGAAACAAAGTTACACGGAATAATAAAAACTCAAAAATGTCGGCCCATGTAATTGATGTAATTAAAACTTAATGTGATTTAATACCAGACAGCAGTTGAAGAGAAAAGAAAAAGAAAAAAACTTTAGACTACGTAAGTGATGGCACAAATTCAAACTATTCTGACAGTACACAATTTTACAGTACACAATACAACATAATGTATTAATATATTTTGTGTTTCAATTTCTCACGAGCAGATGAGAAAGTTAATAGCATTAACACAGTGATGACCATTTATCGTGTATCGGACTGCAACTGAAGTGTCACAAAATGCAGATAATTACTTTCTGAGTTTGTGCGTTGCAAATACGAAGGTTGCTATTTATATTTCTTGCGTGATAATGAAAAAAAAAGAATTTTTATCGAAATTGCTTTTACCGGGTTTTTGAAATGCGACTTCTGAAGGAATGGAAAAACGTTGAACACGCAATTGACTTTTGACGTGCGTGAAGAAAAACTATTCACTGCATGCCAAATCAGCGTTGTACTGCGTATCAGTGTTTTGGCTGGTCGAAACTTGGAAGAAGAATGATTTTTTTCTCTAAAGGCAAACAAGGATTGATTTTATTCAATACTGGCGAATCGAGATTCAAAAGTCTTTTAAAAAAATAATTAATAAATACAGGGATTATCTTATGGAAAGCACGAGACGATCGCTCACCCCACAGCACAGCAAACCACCACATCTGTAAGGTTTGCCGAAGATCCACAAACCTGACATGTCGCTCAGGCCAGGCCAGGAATTCGTCAACAAGTGGCTCAATGTCTGTTGGAGATAATCAATCCATTACCAGGAAAATCGCAGGCATTCGTCAAGAAGTCCATTTTATTCAAATATTGAAGACCACATTCTTAAATCAGGGAAATTATTTTGTTATAGAAAGTTTATTCACCTACGTACTTTTGAACGTATCTCTAGTGATTATTAGGGCCAACCTTCAAGAAGAGTCAACATTGTCAGAAAGAAACACACTATCACTGGAAGACACCACGAAACTACTGGATTGGTGCCCACGTAATTCGTATTGTCAATTGAGAGATCATTTCTACCCACAATACGATGGTTTGCCGATGGGATAAACACTTTCTCCTCTGGTAGCAAATATTAACATAGAATGGTTCGAGGAAGAAACTATCAAATCAACAACTAACAAACCTAAAAGTTGGTTGTGATATGTCGACGACACCTTCATAACATAGAGCAACATTTCCTGATCACATTAATGGCATCACTTCGTCTATAAAATTCACAATTTATAAAAATAAAAACGGAGCCAAACCAGGTCACGAAATCGGATTCGGCTCAGTGTATTGAAAACTCACACATACAGGCGAATACCTAAACGCATAATCGAAAAAAAATAATAATCCAATCACGATACAAACACACAAAAACTATCTGGAGAACCCATGTGCCACTTAACGACGAAGTTGAATGAATTAAAGATGATTCAAAGCAGAACGGTCATTCATGTTAGACTGATTGAAGATATCATTACTAAGTCTCAAGACCAAGCAGCATATAAATCACAGTCTCGACAAAACCAACTAGTGACAAGTTGCATGTGTTAAAAGAATTTCTGAAAAGATCACGACAATTGCAGCAAAATACAACGTCAAAACCGCGTTCCGTTGTGTGCAACTATAAAAAGTTTAATAATGAAAACAAAAGCAGAGAATATCACAGATAACAAAAATGTATATGCCCTGCGAGTGTGGAAAAATTTTACGTAGGCGAAGCGAAGCGACTACTCGATGTAAGAATAGGAGATCAACAAATAGGTCTCGCAGAGCACACTTGGACCGAACATCACAGAATCAACTAGTACAGACCCGAGAATTCTACAAAAGAAAACTCAATCACAACTCACAACAATTAAAATTTTAGTCATCCTAGCGTAGAACTTCCAGGGCTGTGGTTTCGACCTTATTTTTACAATAATTATTGGCATCAGTCTCTCAGATTATATGAGATCCAACGCGAACACATCTTGTTAAGGCCAAATGTTTATTATTAATGCTAGTCGTAATAGAGCCCAAAGACGCCTCTATCTCAGATGTCAGATGTCGATCTTGCTTTATCAGTTCGTGCACAGCATCAATATTTTTTGGCACACGATTCGATTTTGAAAGACGACCACAATTAAATTCACTATACCAGTATTTCCAGTGCTTTTTTATCACCGTGGAAAGAATTTCGATGATCGGTGTAGACTTGCCTTGTTAATCTACCTCGAAAGTTATGGAAAATAATCGCGCGAACACGTTTACGAATTAATTCTATTTTTTTTTCTTGATGAATTTTTGAAATTTTTTACGAACAACAACACAAATCGTATTCAAATAACAGAAGGATATTATGGTATAAAATTTCAAAATTTCGATTGGACACGTCAGGTGGCGCTGGCAACATTTATTATTACGTAAGCGAGAAATGTATGTAGCAACCCTCGTATAAAATATGCGTGTTCCCCTAAATTCTTCTTGGGTTGCTATCTGTCAGCTAATATGTACAGGGTTATTTTTTATGTTTGCGTTCCCACCTAGCGGGGTTAACGAAACTCACCTAGAAAAACTTTTAATACAAAAGTTGTATAATTTTTGCAATGTTATCTTTTAGTCGTGTAAAACGAAGCAAATGCGTATCGCAAAGTTGAAAAACAGTCGCAAGTTTTTTATCTATAAATGAAACCCTATATATTTTCTGTTATATTGAAAGATCTTTTTTTCCTGTTGTATGCCTCGATATCTCTTGACATCTTCATTTCTAACAACGGGTTTCTTTTTTCGACTGAGACTTTTGGTTTCATTCATTAAATTGACGGATAATATGTTTGATTGGGTCAATTGACGGTACTCGTCGTCCAGTAAAAATCTGACGATTTTACCTTTGAACTGCAGCTATTCTTTTTTATTGGAGTAAAAAAGACGAACTACTTGAAGATTTTCTTCCTCTGAGTAACCTATTATCCTAACTGAACGTTTTGATTTAATGTAAAGCGACACAATATGTTACACTGAACGCCGGGTCAACTAGATCAAAAAGAAGAAGATATTTCGTCACTATTTCTCAATACTGCGATGCGCATTTGTTTTCTTTTACAAGCCTAAAAGATAATACTGCAAAAATTATACAGCTTTTGTATTAAACATTTCGCTCGATGGCTTCAGTTAATCCTTGTAAATCGGTTCGCAAATATAAAAAATAACACTGTACACAGAATCCAAAATCGTTAATAATATATTTTTGTTTCATAATAACCAACCAACAAAAGATTAAATCACAGCTTACTCGTTTTTAAGTGAGTAGAGCATAGCTTGGAGTCGGCATTGGGTGTAACCGTGACTCCAACGGTATCCAAGAGCGAAAAGTCGTCGTAACTCTCTACTAAGCTCGTGAAGCTCTTCCTTTTCGAGATCATACCTATACGATTCAAAACGAAACAAATATATTAGTCAAAAATTAACATTTACACCTACACATAATTAATATTTCTAATCATGACTCGTAATGATTCAAAAAATATTACATACTACCATACAAATAGAAATACGAAACACGGTTGTAGAAGTTTGATAACCATAATGATTTGCGCTTAAATATATGTCAATTTGAATGAAAAAAAAACACATCTAGCTATGTAGGATTTTTCCTGCGCTTTGTATCTCTATCTCATTGGCGTACTTTTGGATTTTTCAGAGTGCTATATTCAGCTGAGAGCCAATTGCAAAGGAAATAGCTGATGGACTTACCTTGTATCGCCGTTATTTTAAGTTTATGCTTCTCGGATATAAGAAAGTGCAAGAAGCTAGTATGAAAAAATGAAGAAAATAATCACGGAAGATTTCTGGACTAGATGGTGATAATGCATGTAAGTGTTAATCAATCTAAGTCCAGTTTTATATTAATAAGATTTGGGAATAACGAAAGAGTGTTGTTATTTTCAAATTTGCTAATAATTGAGGAACCCATAGTTGTTAATAATAATTGTTTATAAAAATTCGGATTTCAAGATCAGTCAGTGTTACAGGAACAGGAATTTTAGTAAAGTTTAGTTAATTCTTCTGAAAAAAAAATACAAACTATTGTAATGCTATCTAGAAATCTTCTGGATTCCTTCTACTTCAGTTATTGATAAATCGACTTTGCTGACGTTTCGCTAATCATCTTGATTGCTTCTTCAGAGCTTAATTGAAACTGTTTAAATTTTAGTTACCTCTCTTTCATTTGAATAAAGCAATAAAACAATCGCAGCAATCGGCCCTCAATTTCACTTATCACTTTGAAGAGGACAGCAGTATGTTTGGCGAAATCTCAGCGGGACAGAGCCAAGAAAAATGTGCATGTAGTCTTTTCCCCAGTTATTTTAACCATAGATTATTAAGTAGAGGTTCAGTTGCATCAAAGCATGATACTCGAACCCAAGCCATCGTTGGGATATCTATGCGAGATTTCTAAGATACTTAATAATAAAGTTTTCTACATTTCGCTTTTCACAGGCTATCAAAATATCTTTTATATGTCAAAAGAAAACATGACATTTCTGTTTTGGTTTGTTCGTGTTTTTTCGAATTTACGACAGAAATTTTTAATACATCATTAAAAACGAAGTAGAACACGCCATTCGACATGGTAACTATCCAAAAAGTCATAAGTCATAAAAAAATTGAAGTTGATGGTTGAAGAAAGAAACATGGTACATGATTGCAGGGTTGTTGATTTAGACAAAAGAAGAAGCTCAAAAAATTCTAATTAAAACATATTTCTAGATTTTCATAAATCATAAATCAGTTAAATTAAAAAAGCTCACAAAGCAATCCAATAGATTTAATTGTATGGACCTTCGGAGAGGTTGGGCACATTGTGTTGTTTATTTATTACTTACCTCAAAATCAAAATATAGCAAAAAGTAACTTTCATGTTTATTATTTTATATACTATCCCGTTATCTGATTTATCATGTACATTCGGATTGAATGTCTTGACCAAATATACACTATACCACTCAAGAAAAAAAATATTTACCTGTAAAGATCTTCTTTGTCTAGATTTTCCACTGACGGTAAGCAGCGTCCAAATGCAAAGTCTAAGAAAACATGCGTATTTAAAATGAAGAATGGTATTTTGCATCAGTAATATTTAATACATAAAAAAGAAACTTACCATCGTAACACCATTCATCTTCCACGCAAAGTCGTTCGCTAAAAAAGCAACCTGTAAAAGAAGTTGATTAAGGTCAACGAAATTTAACAATCAAAATAATCTAAATCTAATTTACAATAACTTTGTTTTGTTAAGAAGAAAATTTGTCAATTTTACGCCAAATTTTTGTACATTTTTGTATGTTCCTACATTTAATATTTTAACCTTTTGAACTATGCATATGGTCGTCACATTCGGGCTTCATAGAGAGTATTCTTATATTGCTTGATTATTCCAAGTTATTCGATACAGATGACCACCGTTTCTTATTATGGGTTTGAAAATGAATCATTATATCTTGTCAGATCTTATTTTTGTGTGTTTTTTCAGAGGCGAGTAATGTGCTTTATGGGATGCCCGAAGGCTTTATACTTGGTCCTCTAATTTTTATAATTTACACTTCATAGCTTCTCATATATACTACCTTAGGCAAGGTGTAAGCTTTTGTTGATGGCACGCAGCGTGTTATTATTATTTTCCATGCACTGATTTTAATAATGGGTGTTTCTTTTCGATGTATAGAACTTCAAGTTGGCATTACTGTTTAAGATGGCGACCGATTTAACAGCTGTTAAGTAATTTATTCTGTTTGGTTTGGCAATTCATCATGAATTCATCAATTAAGGCGTAGATTCGTCGAATGGGCCCAAAACGAGATTGCCGTTGTTCCCGATTTTCATAAGCGAATTTTGTTTAGCGATGAAGCGCACTTCTGGTTGAATGGCTACGTCAACAAACAAAACTGCCGCATTTAGAGCGAAGCTAATCCTCAAGTGTATGTCGAAACACCGTTACATCAAGAAAAACTGACTGTTTGGTGCGCTTTATGGGCTGCTGGAATCATTGGTCCGTACTTCTTTAAAAACGATGATGGCCAGAATATTACAGTCAATGGTGATCGGCATAGAGCTATGATTACTAAATCTTTCATTTCTGAATTGAATAACCATGATGTCCAGGAGATGTGGTTTCACCAAGACGGCGCAACATGTCACACAGCACGTGCCACAATCGATTTATTGAAAGACCGCCTAATTTCACGTTTTGGACCTGTGAATTGGCCTCCAAGATTTTGTGATTTAACACCGCTAGACTACTACTGTGGGGCTATGTCAAGTCATTGGTCTATGCGGATAAGCCACAAACGCTTGACCACTTGGAAGACAACATTCGCCGTGTTTTTGCCGATATACGGCCACAAATGTTGGAAAAAATCATCGAAAATTGGACGTCGAGATTGGACTACATCCGCGTCAGCCGTGGCGGTCATATGCCAGAAATCATATTTAAAATGTAATGCCACAAGATTATTTTTCAGATAAATAAAATTCATGTTAATCGAATATTCCATCTTTGTTTTTTTGCAAGTTCTATACATCGAAAAAAAAAACCCTTACTTACACGGAGCCTATTAGTTCCGATTTAAATTTACTAAAGGATATTTCTGAGCAAATAGATGTCAAAAATGTCAAATCTGGGTATCAATATTGAAGGTCACAATTTAATATCTAGTGAAACAGCACGTAACCTTGGTGTCCTGCTTGACTCCAATTTACTCTTTGCCGAACATATAAAGGGCTATCCCACTTAAGCAACTTTACTTCAGTCGTCATTTTCACGGGCAAACTGAAAAATGGAGGTACTAGACGTCAAAATATTATGATTGAGGTTAGCACGTCTCATAAAAATGTCACTGGTGTCGGGGATACAAAGCGATAAATGTCTTAATTCTTTTATGAATAAAATAATAATATATATAATATAAATAGAATTGGCAGTTTTAGGTTTTTTGGCATTACAATTACAAATTTGTATCTTACTCGGACTTTACTCTTGAAGGGCGCTACACCATATTATTTAAATAAAGGTAATCTTTTTTTATCTGCCAAGTTCTGATTGAAACATGATGGAAATCTGAAAAAATATTATTTTTTTTTACAGAAGTGCCGCCCAGCTTTTCCTTATTTTCAATTAAAAATCTTATTTTTTTTGTTTTTTTAAATAAATACTTAAAAACATTAAATGTTTTAGTGTCCAGGTTGCCCATTTTTTATGAATTACCCTGTATATCTGATGTTTCGATTAGCAATGCCCCTTAAGAGAGACGTATGTCAGAAATTCTGGCTACTGCTGCTCCTTTTTTGACGAAGCGTTTCTATTTTTATTTTAGCAACAAAGTAAAGTCGAATAAAATTTAGTTGGAAAATTATCGAACAAAACACAATCTTTTCTATTCAGAAGTGTGATAACGAAAATATATTAGATAGATAGGATATATAGGAAATGCATGATTGACTGTGACACTTCTTGAGACAGTCGTCCAGCTTCTCCTTTGACCCAAACATAACAATATCCGTGGTCTCAGCTGCCTTTGGTAGAACACAATATTTGTGGGTATTCATGGTAAAGCGAATATTTTTTGAAGATCAAAAAGTCAAAAGTGCTTTTAGCTTTTCCTTCTGTGCGCAGTGTTCGACCTTTATTGGCTAACTTTAAATTGCTATTTACAAAACCTCTGGATTCCTCCAGCCTCGGTTGTTGTTGAGTCGAACCTGCTGACGTTTTGCCAATCATCCTGTTGACTTATTCAGAACTTAGCAGTTTTAGTTAAGCTACCATTGCACTTGGATGTCAAACGCAGATCGCGAAATTGAAATTGAATAATCTAGTGTGTCAACCAAGTTTCTTAAAAAATTTATGCTAAAATGAAGAATACGTATTTTTATTCCGTTTTTATACGAATTGAAATTTTTAGGGTCTAGGGTCGACATTGGGTTCAAAAGATTTTGAAGAATAAAAAGATATTAATTATTGACCTGATTTTTTCATATAATATTGGTTGCGAGCTTTTTGCATAACAAAGCCCAATTCAATACCTGAAATTTCATAACGTCCGTGGCAATACATTTTTGTAGAATGAGTACTAACCATTCTATCCACTGATATAAATTAACCTACAATGGGCTTGTTTGCACAATGCGGTTTTCCAGTTAGTTTTTCTATTTAATTCGACACCATTTCATTACTAAAACATATAGTGAAACATTCAGAGTTTTAGCTTCCTCCATTTCGAAGTTATTTCAATTCAAAGAATATAAGGCGTCATTCGTTATATTAAGTGTTCGTTGCATGTTTTTGATTTTTATAGTGATATTTGTTGTTTTAGTGTTTTGATAACATATTCGCTTCGAAGAAGATTTACCGGAAGTTTACATTTTTATGATATTTTAATCAAAATAAAGACTTTATAAGTGGTTAATGTGACGAATAAAATTTCAGAGGTAAGTAATAGGTTATATTAGAAGTATAGCTAACAACGGCTACATAAATGAATGTAATAAATAATAAATTGAAGGCACAGCTAGTTTTATCAAAAACTGAATCGGCGTGAGAATTTCACTTTATGTTGGTTTAGGCTGTCATATCACATTTTGACAAAACAAAGCTTGCGAACATTCTGAGTAATAAAAATGAATATGCATATTTTCAAGAGTTAAGTTTTTTCTTGTAGATATCGAATGATTCACTTTAGCTGTTTCGTCAACTGTTTTAGCCAAAGAGTAAGAGCGCTTATTTTTAATGCATTGCCATTGCGTGCGTCATTTTATAACTACAACAAAAGTGCATTTAAAATATATTATTAAGTCTATTGCGTTTATCAGCCTTTACTGTTTGTTTGAACACAAAATTATTGTAAGCAACAAGCAACATCCTCTTTGGTAAATTTGTGAAGATATCTTCAAAAAATGTATATTATGCTTATATTATATAAGTATTAGAGTATTGAGTATTTTGTTCAATTTTATTGTTTATCGCTGGTTCTTCTCGTAAGTTTCATCATTAAAAAACATCTAAACTAAACAGATTCAACTTTTTTTTAAAAAAGAGGAACTAAATGTTTAACTATTAAATAAACAACTTAAAAATAATTAATTAAACAATTTAACATAAACAGGACAAGAAGAAACATTTGGAAGGAATTTAATGAAAGGAGTTATGAAGTTTTCTACGAGCGACCATTCTTCCCATACTTCCTGAATACCTTGCCATAGCTCTTCGCTATTTTGAGACATAAAATTTCGTTGATCCAGCGGTTTTACGATTGTCCGCCATGTGATTTTGATTAGGTTGCTATCAGAACTGTTACTTCAATGTTGCCAGTTTGGAGCCATTGTGTAAACAGTGTTTGCAGTGTTGACAGGACAGTCTTAATGGAAAATATAATTATTTTCCGGGCAAAGCTCTTTGATACTACGCACAATAATGTTCTGCAATATTTCGGTATAAGTTTGACATACAAATCTTTCCTCAATTCCTTAAATCCATCCCCACTGAAATGGCCTGCAGCTCTGTACCTGTCGACAAATCGATGGTTGAAACGCTGGTTATTGTCTAGTTTGTACACTTTTTTTTACACTTTCATTGGAAAAAATGACTCTATCTGGTGCTTGATAGTTAAGAGCGAAAATAAGCCATACTTTCTTCTGATGGTGCGCGAGTGCTTTCTTTTTTGCCGCAGTCCGGCACTTAAGATGCGATGCATGAATACTTCCAAAAACTGTGGTTTTACTGCCTGGAAATTATTACACTCAGACACAATCCAAAAACTTGTCATTTTGCTATTAAACGCTATTAGACGGATGTGATGAAGGAATTACACCACGCCCCGTTTTTACAGGACCCAAATTAATAGGACCTCTCAAAAATTTCTGAAATTTTGTATATCGATCGATGTGTTCAAGTTTTGCTTTCCAAAATAAAAAAAGTAAAACGATCTCATTAACCAATATTAATGGGTTCCATTGTGTGAGTTGAAGAAATTTGAAAATTGATCAGCGTCGACAACTCCATGAAAACTAATCAAAGAACTAACCTGTTTTTTTTTTAAATGCCGGTAGGTTAACGTATCGAATATTAAAGACAGTTAATACTAGGTGGTTCTAAAACTTATCCAAAACTGACAAAGTTGTCATCTGTAACTAATATTTAGTTAATGAACCAGAAACCCCGTC